AGGATGTAGAATGGCTTAGAATGACGACGGATGAAGAGAGTCGGGTCAGCAGTTGAGGGGTGGAAGTCCAGGGAGAGGAGGACTTCTTTCACCTTGTTGTGCCATTCGCGAGGGGCTTGTTTAAGGCCGTAGACAGGGCGATTCAGCTTCCAGACAGTGTTGGGAGGGAATTCTCCTGGGAAGCCTTCTGGTCTGTCCATGAACACTGTCTCCTTGAGACGTCCTTGTAGGAAGGCGGAAGAGGCATCCATGGATTTGATCTCAAAGTCTTCTCGAGCTGCAACATCCATGAGCGTTCGAATGGTGGGAGGTTTGGATGTGGGGGAGAAGATTAGGTCGAAGTCGCGGTACCGCTGCTGGGTGAAGCCCTTGGCTACGTAACGCGCTTTGAACACCGGTGCCTCGTCTGGGAGCTGTTTTACACGGAATAACCACTTGCCCCCGACGATGTTGACTCCTGGAGGTGGAGTCTCGTCGTCGAAGGAGTGGTTGCGAGTGAATGCTGCAATCTCCGCGTCCATGGCAGCACGCCATTCGGCAGCATGAGGGCCTGAGAGAGCCTCTTGGATGGTGAGAGGGATAGGGATGGTCGGGTTCTCCGCGAGGTTGAGGGAGGGTGAGCCAGTGATATCGGGGAAGATGTGTGAGAGCTGAGGAATGACTGCATGGAGATCACACAGCTCCTCATGCCTGTCTTCTAGAAGGGTAGAGGGCACATCCCCCCTAGCAGGAGGAGGCGGTGTGATCGTTGTGTATCGAAGAACCATTGCGAGTGGAAGAGCAGCGCGATGGGAGCGGGTGCCATGAGCCACCGGTGAGGAGAGTGGGGCAGGCGGTGTCGGAGAGGGTGACTTAGGAGGCTTGGGTGGGGGAATGGGCCGCCGGCGGTACGTGATCAGCTCGGGCGACTGTGGGAGAGCGGGTTCCTCTGTGGTGGGGGGAACTGGGGGAGGAGGTGGGGCCGGAGGGTGGGACCGCCGATGGTAGGTGATAGGTGCGCTCGGAGGGGGCGGTGCAGCGGGAAGTGAGGAAGGTGAGGGGGGGGGCGGAGCAGCTGCCGAAGACACCGGTGAGGCCGGGTCAGAGACCTCAGAGGGAGATGGTGGGATGGCAGGAGAGAGAGGAGGTGAGGGGGCAGGAGCAGGCGGGAGGTCGGGAGGCGCGTCAAAGTCTGCCCACACGAGGGAGGGTGGATCAGGGAGAGGGTCCCGTCCTGAAGGGGAGTAGAATGGGCGGGTCTCATCAAAGACAACGTCGCGGCTCCTGACCAACTGTTGAGTGGAGGGATAGAGGAAGAGGTAGTCAGGTGAGTCGGCGTTGTGCCCAAGGTAGATGCACGTTTGAGTCTTGGGACCGAGCTTGCCACCGTTCTGGCGTCGAGCCTGAGGGTTGAGGAGGACATAGGCGGTGCATCCCCAAACGCGAAGAGAGCGAGCAGTGGGCGTTTTCCCGAGCCAGAGTGTGGTTGGAGTGGTGTCGGGAAGGTGCGGATGGGGGTAAAGGTTGTAGAGGAGGGCGGCGTGGTAGAGAGCGTATCCCCAGAGAGAGTGTGGAGCGTTGGAGTGGCTGAGGAGGCACCGAGTGATCTTCACTAGGGTGTGGTTGCGGCTCTCAGCTATGCCGTTCTGTTGAGGGCTGTCAGGGAGGGTGAAGTTTTGCTGGATGCCTTCGGAGGAGCAGAAGGCTTTGAGCTTGTCGTTGCAAAATTCACCCCCCCCATCCGAGTGAAGGCGCTTGACCTTGCGGTCAAAGGTGGTCTGTGCCTGCTTGACCCACGCCATGATGACCTCTGGAGCCTCAGCCTTAGTGTGGAGGAGGTGAACAGAGACGTATCGTGAGTGGTCATCCACGATAACTAGGAAGTAGCGATATCCACCTCGTGCAAGAACAGGGGCAGGGCCCCAGACGTCCATGTGCACTAGGTCCAGTGGTGTCGCTGCGATTGTGGGTGAGGCAGTGTGGGGCTGTTGGCGCAGTTTGCTCTTGGTGCAATCAAGGCACGTGGGAGCGGGTGAGTCAGGTGGTGGAGGAAGTGTGGCTGGCAGGCCGAGAAGAAATTTCTTGGAGGCCATGTCAGCAAGCGTGCGGAAGTTTGGGTGCCCTAACCGATGATGATAGAGGATGGTCGGGTTGGAGAGGCTGCGACATGTGCATGGTGTGATGGGAGCCTGTGCTTGGGTGGTTGAAACCTGTGGGAGAGGAACGCGTAGCGTGTAGAGGCCGCTGCTATTGAGGGTGAAGCGGGCCAAGACCTTGTTGGTGAGTGGGTCAATGATGTCGCAGTGGTCCTCATTCTCCGAGAAGATGGTGCGTAGCCCTGCTTTCTGAATTTCTGTTTGAGCCACTAGATTGTGGCGTAGTGAAGGCACGCACATGCCAGTGACGGTGCCGGAAGGGAAGGCTGGGCATGGGACTGTGGAGGTGCCCTTGGCTAGGGTGGTGAAGCTGGAGTCAGCTCCCAAGAGAGGGATAGGTGCTGGATAGGGTTTGAAGGAGAGTGTCTCCTTGAGCACAGTATGAGTGGCCCCGCTGTCGAGTGTGAACTCTATGTACTGTGGTGCCTGTGATGAGTCGATGTACTGGGAAGTGGCTTCATTAATCATGGCAGTGCCAGGAAACAACAGGTTGATACGCACATCAACAGGAGCACTATCACTAGCACTAGCCGAAGAGGGGTCCTGGACCTCAACGAGATTGGCCTTACGAGCGCGCATCCAGTTTGGCGGCTTCTTGTCAACCCCGTGGATGGCATACCACTCGTCGTCTTTCTTCTTGAAGCACGTGGCAAGGGGGTGGTTAGTGCCACCACACACTTGTCCCTTGCGGTTGCCATACTTGACGACGTAGGTGCACGGAGGAAAGCGGTTGCGCTGGAAAGGCGCCGAGGCAAGGGCCGCTGCAACACTTGCTAGGGGCATGGGAGCACGGATGGCGTATGCCTTGGCCTGAGCCGTGGAGTCTTTCTCGGCAGAGAGGAGTGCGGTGGAGACCTTAGCAAAGGTGAGGTCTTCCGCTGAGAGCGTGAGGAGCATCTTCCTCGTGACTTCATATGCCGAGGAGAGACCAACAAGAAGGGCGGCTGCAGGGGCTTGTTCGGGGAAGACTATACCCAGCTCCTTGAGTTCACCATGAATGGTCTGCACCTTGGCGATGTAGTCAGCCATTCCTGAGCAGTCCTCAAGACGGACTTGAAACATGCTGGGGATGAGAATCGCCACTCCGACCGCCGTCTTGTTCATGAACCGATCCTGGAGATACTTCCAGATGGCGTTGGAGGTAGGGTAGTTGTGGAACGTGTTGACAAGTTCGGGAGGGGTGGAGGCAATGAAGACGCTGATGATGGCAGCATCGGCCTTCTCCCACTTCCGGTACTTCTCAACAGCTTCTTCGTACGTCATCACGTCAGCATCACTTGAAGATTCGATCGGTTCACGGGGAAGAGTGGGCTGTTTCCCCTTGCCACGGTTGAGGAGGACGTCCTTGAGGTCAAGGCCCTGCACGTCACGGCTCAGGAGGTGCTTGTCAACTCCGTAGCTCCACGCCTTGAAGTTGGAGCTAGAGCCATCGGCTTCAAGGCGGAGCGGGGTGATGGGGTTCGCCATGGTGGAAGACGAGAAAGCCATGGTGGAGACCCCTTAACTTCTCGCGCGGAGCGCCGCTCTTAAGTCACCGATAGGAACTTGAGGTTTGGGGTTTCCAAAGGAGATTTTGAAGAACCGGAGGTTTAGGGTTTACGAAAGAGAATATTGAGGTTTAGGGTTTCTGAAGGAGAATTTGACTGAGACGCCAATTTAGTGTCAACTACCTACTAATCCTATTCCCACACACCCCCCCACACACCACCCTCAGCTTCGCGGCTACGCTGCTGCTCGGCTTCGCGGCTACACGGCTGCTCGGCTTCGCGGCTACGCTGCTGCTCGGCTGCGTTGCTGCACCTGTTCAGCTGCGGGAAAGAGGGGGGATGGGGGTAGGAGTGCAGATGCGGGGCGACGGGCGGCAGCCCGAAGATGACGCTGCGGGGCGACGGGCGGCGGCCCGACGAGAAGCTGCAGGGCGACGGGCGGCAGCCCGAAGAGAAGCTGCAGGGCGACGAGCGGCGGCCCGACGAGAAGCTGCAGGGCGACGGGCGGCGGCCCGACGAGGAGAAGAAGTGACGAGAGTGACGAATTGATGAAAACGAGTGTTAGGTTAGAGCGTCGACGATGCGCTTACCAGAGAAGTTTCCGTCGATGGTGACGGGAAGATGTGGCGGGAGAAATTCCGCCGATGAATGTCGCGAATCAACGGCGACGAGATTGGCGATGGCTTCCCCGAGGTTTGCGGGACAAGTATCCGCAGAGATGAGAGGATCACGATCCGCGTATGCGGTTGAGCTGCTCTGATACCATGTCAGAACTTGAGCTTAGAATCGATACTATAGTAGTGAGCTCAAAGCTCTTTAAGTACATCCGGAATGAGCAAGGTAGGGATGAGGAGGGAATCAGGAGGCAATCCTAGGGAATCAAGGGTAATCCCAAGGCAATCTCCAATTGGTGGGTTGGAGATTGCTTGGAGATTACATTTGGGTTTGGTTGGGATGTGGGTGTACACCCATCCAAACACAAAGTGCAAACTACACTAAACTAGGATATAAAAGTACAAGTACAAAATGTGAGATTGGGGCCTAACACCAACATTAATATCCGTGAAACCCGCCGCGGAAAATCCGAGGGGATAGGTACTAGGGGTGTATAGCACCCTCCCCTCCTTCCCTCTCTAGAAAAAAAAGTATATTACCCTGCCCGAAAAAGTTTTCACCCTGCCCACCCCTCCGTATTTCAAGCGTATTTGAACATCCTCTGTAGACGTATCGTGTATTATACTCTAGCGTATACACGCATGCGTACAAAACGCGAAACGCGTATATTCCAACTTAGATTTTTTCTGGTACTGTAACACTTCTTTTATCACGCGCCATCCCCCCCACCCCCTGATTTCTTCTGGTACTGCAACACCACCAGGTGCCCAAGGTCACAGCAGAGGAGGACCTGCTTGCACTGCTTGAACTGGTGGAGGTGGTGCTGCTGCACCATTCCGCCAGGTATGGGCTTGACTGACCTAGTGTAGTGTAGGATGTATCTGGTGCAGGTTGTAAGTGGTGGAGGTGGTGCTGCTGCACCATCCCGCCAGGTATGGGTTTGGGTAGCCTGAATCAGGCTGTATCTAGTGGAGGCTGTAACTGATTACATGCTTTCAATGGTAGATGTGTTCTGGACTCAAGTTACCTCATGCTGCAACTGGTTCAGGCCTAAATTGTTCTCTGATCCTCCTTTCCCTTTTCACTCTCCTCCCTACCCCCCGTCCTCTTCTCTCTCTCCCTCGCCTGCAGTGTCAGCACAGGCCATGCTGCTGCTGTCAGCACGAATGAGCTCTGCAGGGTAAGTCTCACCCAGAGCTTCACTTGCTGCTCTCACCTCTAAGCTGCTTCTTCTTCTTGTCAACTCCTCTCCATCTACTCTGCCCTTCCCTCAGTTGTAAGTCCGTTTTGTTTTCCCCTTATTTCTTGGACGATAGCCATTCCATCCCGTCCTCTGTGCAGTCACCCTTGTCTTCGTGCTCCGCTTCCTTTCAGCTGGCAGTGCATCTTGGGACATCTTCCAGTGAGCAGCGGTTAGGTGCAGTTACCCTTGTCTTCGTGCTCCCCTTTCTTTCAGCTGGTAGTGCATCTGCTATGGCACCCTCGTACACAACTATACCCCCCCCCCCTTCCCCCCCTTGCTCTACACAGTTGGCGGTGCACCTGCTGTGGCACCCCTTATCATCAGTGCGCAAGGCAGCACACGCCATGGTTGCTCGCTTCCACGCCATCTCTCCCCTCCTCTCCGACTCCCTCTTGGACGCCCTCTCCCTCTCCCTTCCACCTCTGGAGGACCTCGCAGCAGCCGCGGCCATCAGCACCGGGTGAGTGACGGCTGCCTTGCGATCTCCTCTTATTCCATCCTGGAGTCGAGGCGCCCCTCCTCTCCACCTCTCTCTTGGACGCCCTCTCCCTCTCCCTGCCACCTCTGGAGGACATAGCAGCAGCTGCGGCCATCAGCACAGGGTAAGCACTTGCCATGCTGGCTTCTCCCCGTCTTCTATTCTAATTCCAGTTATTGGGACGCTTAAAAATTTGGAACTACTATTAACGTGCTCTCCTGCTCCCTGCCGCCTCTGGACTGGAGGTCGTTGCAGCAGCCACTGCCGTCAGCACCTGCCCACTGGGTGCGTGCTGCCTTTTTGTCTTCTCGGCGCCTCTTTCGGCAGCAGCGTCCCTCATTGACCCGCGCCCATCCTTTCACCTATCATGCTCGCTCGCTCTCTCTTCTCTTGCCGTGATCCTTCTCCCCCAGTGATTCCCCTGAGGTAGCAGTATCGCCAGAGTCAGCCGCAGACCGCCTTCCTCCCCCACAGCTGCTGGGGCAGGCGCTGCTAGTGGTGGCGGGCGCAGGGGCCGTGGCGGAGAGGGTGAGGGCAGGGTGAAGCACAAGGCTCCTCAGCACCTTCTCATATCCCCTTAACCCCAACCTTGGCCTCGCCATTTGCCCTTCCCAATGCTTGTTTTTCCTCTCGTCCCCTTTCTTCTCCCAGGGATGCCCCTGAGGCAGCAGCATCGCCAGAGTCAGCCGCAGACCGCCTTCCTCCCCCACAGCTGCTGGGGCAGGCGCTGCTGGTGGTGGCGGGCACAGGGGCCGTGGCAGAGCGGGTGGGCGTGGCAGCACGTGTGATGCTGCTGGCTCACCATAGGCTCGTTGCCGGGGGGAAGAAGAGAGATGTCGTGTGGCAGGTGAGCATTACAGTGCGGTTCAGTGCAGTTTAGAGAAATTGAGTGTGGTGATGCATGTCTAGCCAGTGGTGACGGGCACAGGGCCCGTGACGGCACGGGTGATGCACTGGCACACCATGGGCTCGTTGCTGGGGGAAAGAGGAGAGACATGGTTTGGCAGGTGAGCACGCGAGGGGATTCAGTGCGGTTGAATGCGTTCACTTGGGTTTATTATACCTGGGGTGAGAATCCAGCATTGGTCCTTCAGGGTTGAGAACTCTGTACGTTAGATTTGAGGTTCTTCGTCTCATCTCAGGGCTCTTGTTCTTGAGATAACTTTGGAGTTTTTGCTTCTTTCTCCATACGATACACCAACCCAACCCCCCCAGGAGCTCGTAAGGGCATGGCAGCGTCGGGCATACGAGGTGTCTGCCACTCTAGCCGCGGAGCCTGTTGTTGTGGCTAAGGTATGGATGCATCCAAGCACTGGCTGAGTGACTCTGTTACTAAATGCATACAAGCCTCAATCGCCATGCGTTCCCCTTTTCAATCTGCTTTTTCCAAGTCTCAATGGCCATTCAATTACATTGTGACCTCTCAACCTTTCCCCTCTCCTTGCTGCTGCTTATAATGCTCCTGTGAACTCTCCCCAGATTCTGACTGGACCAGTGGGTCTCGCATCCAGCCGTCCAGCTCAGTCAGATGCCGCCATCTCAGCCATCCAATCTGCCATGCGGCTCATTCCCGCAGAGTTTTTCCAGCCTCTAGTCACGGTATGCCACTACACTATGGCACACGTGGATGAGTACGTAACATGCTGTGAGTGGCAGTGTGTAGTGCAAACGGTGGCATTGCGGGGAAAGCAGGTAGCACGTTCGTGAGTGAAGAGTACGGCTTTCGATTCGCCTCAAAACACGTATGGATGGATGAGTATGTGAGTGGCATGCTGTGAGTGGCAGTGTGACGTGCTTAATGGTGGCATTCGGGGGAAAGCAGGCAGCACGTTTGTGCGTGAAGAGTACGGCAGGACGACACCTGTCACTTGAAATGATGAGGCTGCATTCTCCCACAATTGCTCTCTTTGAGCTGTTTTTACCGGCCTCAATTTCTCTGCTTAAAAGCATGCCGTACCCTCTATGATCAACGCAACAGCTCATGCCTGTCTATCTGGCAACTGTGTTTTGCCTCCCAGCCAGCAAGTGACCCACCACCCATGCTTCTCACTGCTGCTAATCAACCATGACTCTCCCTGTGCGACATGCATGGCATGGCAGGAACTGGAGGCAGTGGGACAGCGGAAGGAGCATGACGCTCTCACAGAGTCGGAGATTAAGGTAGGGATGGCATTGGCATGGCACGGCACAATACAGAATGGTGAGCCATGCCATACCATGGCATGGCATGGCATAACACAGCATGGCAAGGGAAACAGTAGGATCAAGATGACATACGCTCATGATAACCACAAAACGATGTACACGACTGCATGTGCTATTGCTTCTCATCTCATTGCCGGTAATATTCTGCACACCAGTGACGGCACAGTGTAAGTGATGTGGCAGAGCGAGGGATAAGAACGCGAGATACACGGTACATCTAGTGCATACCTTACCTCTATCTCTCTCCTGCCCTGATCCTGACGTCATATGTATGGTCTCCTTCCTTCTTTCCTCCCGTGCTTCCCTCCTCCCAGATATTCAACGCGCCCGAGGGCATGCCTTCAGCTGAGGGCGGAGTGTACGTAGCGGCGGTGGTGAGGGACAGGAACGTGCGGAACAACTAGCACGTACCCTGCCTCTATCTTGCTGCCTCCCTGCTCTGGTGTACTGGTTTCCACCTTCCTCTTCCCAGATATTTAACACGCCTGAGTGCATGCTTTCAGCGGAGGACGGAGTGTATGTGGCAGCGGTGGTGAGGGATAAGAACGTGCGGAACAACTAACACGTACCCTGCCTCTGTCTTGCTGCCTCCCTGCTCTGGTGTACTGGTTTCCACCTCCTTCCCAGATATTTAACACGCCTGAGGGCATGCTCTCAGCCGAGGACGGAGTGTATGTGGCGGCGGTGGTGAGGGATAAGAACGTGAGGCAGGCGAGGGGCAAGCTGAAGCTGTACGGTGCCGAGCTGGACGATGATGACGACGAGGAGGAGAAACCCGCCCCTGCTGCTGCCCCTGCAAAGAAAAGCACGGCTGTGAGTTGCTTGCGGGGTGTTTCTGGGAGTACTAATGAACGTGAGGCAGGCGAGGGGCAAGCTGAAGCTGTACGGTGCGGAGCTGCTGCAAAGAAAAGTACTGCTGTGAGTTGCTTGCAGAGTGATTCTGATAACGTCAAGGGCCGTGGAGCAGGCAGGCAAGGGGCAAGCTGAGCATTGTTTGGTGCTGATCCGAATTTTGAGTCTGTGCGGAGCTGGACGATGATAGGAGGAGGAGCCGTGCCGAGCAAACCCACCCCTGCTGCTGCTGTGAAGAAAACTGCTGCTGTGAGTGGGACGCTTTTGTCAAGTCCAAATACCCAACCCCATCAGTCCGTTTTTCATGTGCAATCAAGGCGACGGTATTGCTACTGAGACAAAACCGGCTTCTGCGATTGGTGCTCTGTTGTGAAGTTCAAAGTCTAACCCCATCATGAAAGAAATGAACTTTGATTGATCGGTCTTCCCCGCCTTCCGCCACCCAACTGCGTGGTGCTGCCTTGACAACCACATCATCACGCCACACTTCGTGCTCCACGTCATCACTTTGTGCTGCACGTGATCACTTCGTGCTCCACGTCATCACTTCGTGCTCCACGTCATCACTCCGTGCTCCACGTCATCACTCCGTGCTCCACGTCATCACTTCGTGCTGCACGTCATAACTTCGTGCTGCACGTCATCACTTCGTGCTCCAGGTCATCACTTCGTGCTCCACGTCGTCACTTCGTTTCGTGTTACCGCCGCCATCCATTACTAGCTGGGCACATGCGCACCATTTGCACATAGAAGGCAGCAACTTTTCTTGGAAGTTCAAGCAAACTACGCGGAGCTAGTGGGGCTATGGGGCCGGCTGGGAGAGGAGGCGGGGAAGCTCGGGGAAAAGAAGGCAATTCCTTTACCATCCCCTTGCCTCTCTTCCACCCACCCTCTATATGCAGCCCACGCCAGCACGGGGAGCAGCTGGGGCCGGTGGAGCCAAGGGGGCGGCTGGGAGAGGAGCAGGCAAGAAGGACACGGGCAAGCCGGGGGCAAAGAAAACAGCAGCAGGCGAGGGGGAGAAGGGGAAGACAGCCAAGGAGGAGGCGAGGGAGGCTCTGCTGCTGGAGGAGGCTGGAGTGAGGGAGAGAGTGAGGGGGATTCAGAGGCACACGGGGGTGCTGGTGCGGGCTCTGGGTGCTGCTGCTGCTGCCAACCCGGCCTTCTCACACGACCAGTTGCCTCAGCTTGTGAGCGCTCCTCAATCCTCACATCTCTTGCATCCTGTGTTGCCATGCAACGTTGGTGCTGTGCAACTGTGCTCTCTGACTTTTGAGTCAACTCAAAAGGACGCTTGGTGCTGCTGCTGCTGCCAACCCGGCCTTCTCACACGACCAGTTGCCTCAGCTTGTGAGCGCTCCTCAATCTTTCCATCACGCTGTTCGATTCTGATTACTGACTGTGCCCTCTGATTTGTTTGGTTTGATTGCTGCAGCACACGATGATATTTTGTCTCAATAATGGCCCAATTCTTGAACAAACCATCTGTATTCCCCATTCCTGCCATCTTCTTTCCCTCTGTTCCCTTCTCCTCCCTCTCTTCTTCCTGTTCCCCCAGGTGGCGTCCATACTGCCGCTGCTGCACTCGCCGCTCATCCCCTCGCAAGCCTTTGACGCGCTGCAGGGCAGCTTGGGTACGAGAGTGTGTGGGAGACCTTTGCGCCAGCTCACATGGCCTTGCCTCCCCCGTACCCCTCTCCTCTCTGATCCCCTCCCCAGGTGGCGGCCATTCTGCCATTGCTGCGCTCGCCGCTCATCCCCTCACAGGCCTTTGATGCGCTGGCGCTGGTGATGCGCTGCCTCTCCCCGGCGCTGCAGCCCTTCTCCTGGGACGTCGCCTCCGCCCTCTGCTCTGTCTCCCTCGCAGGGGAGAGCCTTGCGGAGCAGCTGAAGGAGGAGAGCGAGTGCAGAGGGGGGTGAGTCAACTCAAAACCCCATCATCTTTCCCTTCCTCCTCCCTCCCTCCCTTCCCCCCTCCACCCATCGCCCCCAACCCCCTCAGGTGGCGTCCATACTGCCGCTGCTGCGCTCCCCACTCATCCCCTCGCAGGCCTTTGATGCGCTGGCGCTGGTGATGCGCTGCCTCTCTCCGGCGCTGCAGCCCTTCTCCTGGGACGTCGCCTCCGCCCTCTGCTCCGTCTCCCTCGCAGGGGAGAGCCTGGCGGAGCAGCTTAAGGAGGAGAGCGCGGAGGAGGGCGAGGAGGAGGAAACGGAGGGGAAGAGGAGGAGGAAGAAGGAGGAGAGTGTGGTGGACAGGGTGGTGAGGGCTGTGTGGGCGGCGTGCAAGGAGGGAGGGTCGCTGCCTGCTGCCACGTTTGGTGCTGTGTTTCCGGTGAGTCGGGGGCTGCATGTCCGTCTGTTTGTTGGCAAGTGAGTGGCGGTTACTGTCTGCTTGATAATGAGTGAGGTGAGGACCAGCTGCACACCTTGCCCAGCCCTTCATCCTGCTGCTGGTTGGTTTTGAGACTTCTAAAAATCAAACGGTCACTGTCTGCTTGATAATGAGTGAGGACCAGCTGCACTGCACACCTTGCCCAGCCCTTCATCCCTCAGCCGCATGTCATTCTTGTTTTATGTTTCCCCGCCTGTCAGATCTTTCAGCAAGTTCTTCGGGCATACAAGAAAACCCGGCTGCATGATTCCATCCTCTCCACCGTCCACCTGCACACCTCGCCATTCATTGCACTGCCCTGCCTCATTATTGCCTTATATTCCCTCATCCCCCGTCCCTATGCTCATTCCCTCATCCCCCGTCCCGATGCTCCTCCTCTCCTCAGATCTTCGAGCGAGTCCTCCGGGCAAACAAGAAGACCCGCCTGCACGACTCCATCATCTCCATCCTGCACCTGCACACCTCATCCTCCATCACATGCTCATAGCCCAGACGTCTCACTACTCTTTTATGTCCCCTCCATCCCCCCTCTCCTCAGATCTTCGAGAGAGTGCTTCGGGCAAACAAGAAGACGCGTCTGCACGACTCCATCATCTCCATTCTGCAGCTCCACACCTCGCCCTTCATCGCTCTGCCGCGCCTCGCCATGATCTCGGTGCTCTACCATGTGTTGGGCCGCGTGCGCATCTACCACTCACGCGTGCAGCCGATTCTGAGGGAGCTCTGCAGAGGCTTGAAATCAGATGAAATCGGAGGGGTGAGTTGCGGTTTGCGGGGGTTCTGTGCGGTTCTGGTCCGTCAGTCTGTGCCTAGTCTCAGTGCTCTACCACGTGTTGGGCCGCGTCTGCATCTACCCCTCACGCGTGCTGCCGATTCTGAGGGAGCTCTGCAGGGGCCTGAAGTCCGACGAGATTGGAGGGGTGAGTGGGGGTATTTTGCGGTTCTTGTCTCTACGCTATACTGTGCTGTGCTTTGTGGTGCCCTACCACGTGTTGGGCCGCGTGCACATCTACCACACACGGGTGCAGCCGATCCTTAGGGAGCTCTGCAGGGGCCTGAAGCTGGACGAGATTGGAGGGGTAAGTTGCAGTTCTTGGGGGTGTGTGTGATGTGATTCTGCGATGCGAGTGCAGCCAGTGCTGTGCGAGAGGGTCTGCTTGCAGGGCAGGCACATGGGAGGGAGGCGTGTCTGAAAGCAGTCAGATTCATCTACTCTTGCTTGCACCGACGCTGCTTCCCCCTCTGCTCCCCTCCCCTCCCTCCTCCAGGCACTAGAGGGTCTGTTTGCAGAGCAGGCACATGTGAGGGAGGCGTGTCTGGAAGCAGTCAAGTACATTCCAACCCTAGCAGCAGGCAAGGCCCCCCAAGACCCATATGTGGCCTGTGCCATCTGGATGGCCCAATACGACCCCGAACCTGCCAACGCCGAGGCTGCCGAGATGGTATGGGACATGTACGGGCACCAGCTAGGCCCGGAGTACGCGCCGAACCTGATTGTCAGCCTCGGGAACCCGAGCCAGGAGGTTCGGCTGGCGGCTGCCGAGGCTATGGCGGCAGCTATGGACGAGTACCGAGGCACGATCCAGACCAGTTTGACGAGCCTGTTCTCGCTGTATGTGCGGGATGCGCCACCTCAGTCTGCCATGTGGCGGCCTCAAGATGATGCCACGTGGCACAGCAGGGAGGGCATGGCTCTGGCGATGCGAGCTGCTGCTGACGTGCTGACCACTAAGGAGCTGCCACTTGTCGCCACGTTCCTCATCTCCAAGGCTCTGGTGATTCCTTTTCCCATGCTCCAAAGTTAATTCTTTGGTTCTGCAAACTTCTGCGCTGAGTGTTGATTTGTTTTGCTGTAAAATGTGAGATCGTTTCAAGCAGTGAATTGAGCCCTTCTCTATGGTCGTCCTCACCCACCCTGATTTTTCTCGAACAGGCCGATCCTAACGAGGAGGTTCGGAGGCGCATGGTGGAGGCAGGTTTGGCAATCATCAACCGGCATGGCAAGGAGAACGTGGGGCTGCTGCTGCCCATCTTTGAGAACTACCTCGACCGAAAGGTGTGCTTGTGTGAAGGGGATTGTAGCAGCTGGGGGTTGCAGTAGCGGTAACTCAGCAACGAGCATGAAATGCAAGGAGAACGTGGGGCTGCTGTGGCCCATATTTGAAAGCTACCTCGACCGCAAGGTGTGCTTGTGTGTGTGTGTGGTAACAAGAAGGTGCAGTGTGAGGGGATTGTAGCAGTTGGGGGTTGTAGTAGTGAGTGAGCAATGAGCAGGAAATCAAAGGCAAGGAGAACGTGGGGCTGCTGCTGCTGCCCATCTTTGAGAACTACCTCGACCGAAAGGTGTGCTTGTATGCATGGTGACAAGAAGGTGTGGCATGGGAAGAATGTCTGGCGCTCTACTGTTCCCAACATCTACTCTCTGGTCTGTCCTTTCCCCCTTCTTCCCCTTTCCCTCCCCTCTGTTCTCCACCCACTTGTGCCCCCCTCGCTACTCTCCCTCCTCTCTCTGCCTTGGAGGGCAGGCGGACAACGAGCACAGCTATGATCTCAAGACCCCTCTCCCCCCCTCCACTCTCCCCTACACCCTCCACTCTTGGAGAGCAGGCGGACAACGAGCACAGCTATGATCTTGTGCGGGAGGGCGTGGTGGTCTTCCTCGGTGCCCTTGAGTTGACTCAAAAGTCGTACCTCCTTTCCCCTTCCTTCTCCCCTTTGCGCCCCTGCATTGCATTGTGGAGCAGGCGGACAACGAGCACAGCTATGATCTTGTGCGAGAGGGCGTGGTGGTCTTCCTCGGTGCCCTCGCAAAGCATCTTGCCCCGGTACGGCTCAAATGTACCTCTGAATTGCGCGCAGTTTGTCTTGTTAACCTGTTTCTCTGTCAGACGCCTCTTGGAGGAATGTCGTTTGGCATGTGTTATGACACCACACCGCCTGCAGTGCTCCGTTCAGCTTAACTCACTTTGGCTGAAACTGTTTTCCAACCATAACTCTTACCTGTGCAGGAGGACCCAAAGGTGGCGCTCATCCTGGCCCGGCTTCTAGAGGTGCTGAACACGCCCTCAGAGGCCGCACAGAGGGCCGTCTCCGACTGCCTACTACCCCTCGATCTAACCCCTGCTGTTTCTTACCCCCCACCCCCTGTGCGGACATGCAGGAAGACCCCAAGGTGGCGCTCATCCTGGCCCGGCTGTTGGAGGTGCTCAACACGCCCTCAGAGGCCGTGCAGAGGGCTGTGTCCGACTGCCTACCGCCTCTCATGCCCGCCATCTCCCTCAAGGTGCGTGCGTCTCCTCGCTAGCTGAGCATCATGTCTCCTTGTGTTCCTCGCCTCAGAGCCTCGGAGCAGTTTTGAGACGTGTCAAAACTCATGTTCTTCGCCTCAGAGCCTCGGAGTATTGCGCTGCACGTAGTGTTTCCGTTGAGTATTCAACAGAACATCACCCTCTGTGTCGCACTTGGTGGCGTTGCGCACCGACCGAGTATCACACTGCTATAATGTAAGATATACTTTCTACTAAGGAGGGGAATAGGAAGCTGAAGTGGGCTAATTTCCCGCTCTTGCGACTCCTCATAGCCCAGGCGCTCATAGCCCAGCAGCTGAATGTGCTGCTGACGAGCGACCGCTCTGCAGAGAGGAGAGAGAGACACGTCTTTTGCTCTGGAGTTGGCTTAACCTAACATCCCTTTCCTGTTGCACTTTCTCCCCTCCTCTCTCCTACTCCACAGGAGGGTGGAGAGCAGGCGCTCATAGCCCAGCAGCTCAAGGTGCTGCTGACGAGCGACCGCTTTGCAGAGAAGAGGGATCTGACTTGTGACCGAAGGTGGCTTGACCTCTTCCCCCTTTCCCTTTCCTCATTCCCGTATTTTCTTCGTTCCTCTTTCTCCCCCTTTTGCTCCTCCCCTTCAGGAGGGAGGCGCCCAGGCACTCATAGCCCAGCAGCTGAAGGTGCTGCTGACGAGCGACCGCTTTGCCGAGAGGAGAGGCGCAGCGTTTGGTCTGGCTGGAGTGGTGAAGGGGTTGGGTCTGAGGAGCATTCGGGATTATGGTGTGCTGCAGGCGCTGATCAAGGGCGTGGAGGACAAGTGAGTGGAGCGGAATGGCGTGAAGGGAAGGTAGGAAATTTTTTTATTGTCAGGTCCCAGGGGAGTGCAGCAATGTGGCTTGCTGGCTGGGGTGGTGAAGGGGCTGGGGCTGAGGAGCATCGGGGATTATGGTGTGCTGCAGGCGCTGATCAAGGGCGTGGAGGACAAGTGAGTGGGGCGGATGGTGTGATGGAAGTAGGATGGAAGGTGAGGGGGCTGGGTCTGAGAAGCATTCGGGATTTTGGTGTGCTGCAGGCGCTGATCAAGGGCATGGAGGACAAGTGAGTGGGGTGACTGGGGTGAAGGGAATGTGAGATAAGTTTACAGTCAGAGGAGTGGTGCGCAGGTGGGTGGCTGACAGGGGTGGTGAAGGGGCTGGGGCTGAGGGAGGAGATGAAGGAAGGTAAGGTGAAGGGACTGGGGCTGAGGAGCATCAGAGATTATGGCGTGCTGCAGGCATTTTGAGACGTCTCAAAATGTTACTTTTCTCAGGTGGTGAAGGGGCTGGGGTTGAGGAGCATGAAAGATCATGGCGTGCTGCAGGCAATGATCAAAGGCGTGAAGGACAATTGATTGGGGTGGGAGGGGAGAAGCGGAAGCAACGAGGGTTGGAGGGGGGGGGAGATGAAGGAAGGTAAGGTGAAGGGACTGGGGCTGAGGAGCATCAGAGATTGTGGCGTGCTGCTGGCACTGATCAAGGGCGTGGAGGACAAGTGAGTCGGGGGGAACTGGGTGGGGCGGAGTATTATACTGATGGAAGTGAGGAGGATGGTTGAAGGAAGGATTCATGAATGAAAATCTTTTAGTTCCTTTAATTTGAACTTTCGAAGTGTTGTTCTCCACTGCTGCTGAGAGAATCCATTCCGTCCTTCTCTCATGTTAGACCAAAAGTGCTCTTTGCTGCTCGTTGCTGTTGCTTGCTGCCCTTGTCCCCAACCAGGTCATCCCCGAAGGCAAGAGAAGGAGCTCTTTTTGGCTTCGAATGCCTGTCTGAGAAGCTTGGTCGCCTCTTTGAACCGTAAGTTAACGCTTCGAACTGTGAGTTGAGCTTTTTCTTCCCTATGGCCTGTTGACTTTTGAGTCGACTCAAAAGTCAGCTTTTTCTTCCCCATGGCCTGTTGACTTTTGAGTCGACTCAAAAGTCAGCTTTTTCTTCCCTATGGCCTGTTGACTTTTGAGTCGACTCAAAAGTCAGCTTTTTCTTCCCTATGGCCTGTTGACTTTGAGTCGACTCAAAAGTCAGCTTTTTCTTCCCTATGGCCTGTTGACTTTTGAGTCGACTCAAAAGTCAGCTTTTTCTTCCCTATGGCCTGTTGACTTTTGAGTCGACTCAAAAGTCAGCTTTTTCTTCCCTATGGCCTGTCCGATGCCTTTCTCTCAACTCAACTCCGCCATCATCAGCTGAACCGACTTCTTCCTCTCCGTTCTAACCCCCCCTGGCACCCCTGCCCCCCCCCCCCCCCCCCTATCACCAGCTACGTGATTCACATCCTGCCGTATCTTCTGGTGTGCTACTCAGACACAGCCACGCCAGTGCGCGAGGCCACGGTGCATGCGTCTCGCTGCATCATGGGGCAGCTCAGCGCCCCTGGGGTGAAGCTCATCCTCCCTGCACTGCTCAAGGTGAGAGATGTTTGAGTCACGTCAACTGTAAATCAGCTACTCACTCACACCAGCCATGCCACGCCAGTGCGGGAGGCCACGGTGCATGCGTCTCGCTGCATCATAGGGCAGCTCAGTGCCCCTGGGGTCAAGCTCATCCTGCCCGCGCTGCTCAAGGTGAGAGATGTTTGGGTGAAGCAGAAAATCAGCTGCTCACTCACTCACACCAACCAAGCCACGCCAGTGCGGGAGGCCACGGTGCATGCGTCTCGCTGCATCATGGGGCAGCTCAGCGCCCCTGGCGTCATGACTTCTGAGTCAACTCAAAAATCAACTCCTTATGGGGCAACTCAGCGCGCCTGCCTGGGGTCAAGTCAAGCTCATCCTGCCCACGCTGCTCAAGGTGAGAGAAGCTCGAATCGACTGGGGGATCTGCTTCTCAGGCACAGCACAGCACAGCACAGCACAGCACAGCACAGCACAGCACAGCACAGCACAGCACAGCACAGCACAGCACAGCACAGCACAGCACAGCACAGCACAGCACAGCACAGCACAGCACAGACACGGCCACGCCAGTGCGGGAGGCCACGGTTCCTTTATCTTCCTTGCCCATCTTAACCTCCCTGCCTGGTTTAAACCCACTTCCTCCCTCTTCACTCCCTTCTGTTGACCAGGGCTTGGAGGAGAAGGCGTGGCGCAGCAAGCAGGCAGCATGCAGCTGCTGGAAACCTTCCCTTCTGTTCTGCACATTCTCCCTTCTGCTCTTTATTCCATATTCCTCCCTCCTTCCATGCCCGATTTCCCACCACTTTTCTCCATCTTCCCACCCTTCTGTTGAGCAGGGTCTGGAGGAGAAGGCGTGGCGCAGCAAGCAGGGCAGTGTGCAGCTGCTGGGAGCCATGGCCTTCTGTGCGCCCCGCCAGCTCTCCCACTGCCTGCCACTCGTGGTGCCCAAGCTCAGCGAGGTGCGTGTGTTAAGCGATTCAAGGAGGTGCATGTGCTGCCCATTTAGGTGGGTGTGCTGGGGTGGTAAGGGGCCTCCCACTCATGGCCTTCCAAGCGCCCCGCCAGCTCTCGCACTGCCTGCCACTCGTGGTGCCAAATCTCAGCGAGGTGCGTGCGTGCGTTTTTCGCACGCTCCTCGCGTTTCGAGAGAGTCCAAACTTTTGAGACGAGGTGCGATGGGTGCAAGAGAGTCCAAACTTTTGAGACGTTTCGAAACGCGGGGAGTGTGCGAAAAACCCGCGAGAATTACCGAGGTGACGAAGGGAGGGAAAGAAACGATGTGGCGAGAGTGTGGGCGACGTGAGCCTGTAGAAAGGAGCAATGCCTTCCTTGTGCCAGTGATCGCACAGTCAGACAGATGCCCAAGGCGCATGCAGCAGCAGCAGCAGCAGCAGCAGACACATCCTTGCAGCACACAGTTTTACATTAATTGCCACTCCCTTTCCAATCCCCGCCCCCCCTTGCTCTCCCCGTTCCCCTCTATCATCAGGTTCTCACGGACACGCACCCCAAGGTGCAGGCAGCAGCGCACACGTCGCTGCAGCAGGTGGGGAGTGTGATCCGCAACCCTGAGATTGCTGCCCTCGTGCCATCGCTGCTGGACGGCATCGCCAACCCCAACAAGCACACCCGCGCCTGCCTCGACCTCCTGCTGCAGGTACCACGTCAGTTACAGTGCAGGTTATATCTGTGTATCTGCTTTCTTTTCCGCGCATGCCTCACACTTGCAGTGCTGGCCTCCCTTGTGTCGTCGCTGCTGGCCGGCATTGTCAACCCCAACAAGCACCACATCCCCGCTTCCCCCCTCCCCCCCACCAGACCACCTTTGTGAACTCAATTGACGCAGCCTCCCTGGCCCTCGTCATCCCCATCGTGCACCGCGCGCTGAGAGAGCGAGCAGTCTTTCATCTGAACCATTGCACACAATTCTTCTCTGTTCTCCCTTATCCTTTCTCACCCGCCCCATCACAGACCACATTCGTGAACTCCATCGATGCGGCATCCCTCGCCCTCCTCATCCCCATCGTGCACCGCGCACTGAGAGTGCGCTCCTCCGACATCAAGAAGCGCGCCGCTCAGATCGTGGGCAACACGGTCTCCCTCGTCACGGACCGCTCCTCGCTGCTGCCATACCTCAACCTGCTGCTGCCCTTGCGCCGTCTCAACCCGTGCCACACTGTTTCTTTCCTCCCTTCTCCCCTCGCCCACCCCAAACCAGACCACTTTTGTGAACTCCATAGATGCAGCCTCCCTGGCCCTCGTCATCCCCATTGTGCACCGCGCCCTCCGCGAGCGTTCCTCCGACATCAAGAAGCGCGCAGCACAGATCGTCGGCAACACCGTCTCCCTCGTGACCGACCACTCCTCGCTGCTGCCTTACCTCAACCTGCTGCTCCCCGGGCTCAAGAAGGTTCTGCTGGACCCCCATCCGGACGTGCGCACCGTGGCAGCCAAGGCGTTTGGGTCGCTGGTTCGTGGAGTGGGCGAGCACGAGTTTCCTGACCTCGTTCCCTGGATGCTCGAGACCATCGGGTACGTACGACGACCCGTCTCTTTCTCTAGGCATCTTTTCTCTCAGATTGTAATCTGGCTCCGCGGCTCCTGCTGCTGCCCTACCTCAACCTGCTGCTCCCCGGGCTCAAGAAAGTGCTGCTGGATCCCCATCCGGACGTGCACACCGTGGCAGCCAAGGCGTTTGGGTCGCTCGTGCGAGGGGTGGGCGAGCACGAGTTTCCTGACCTTGTCCCCTGGATGCTCGAGACCATCAGGTACGTCCAGTACAGACTACAACCGTTCTCTCTCCCTCGCTAGACATTCTTGTTGTCAGAGTTTGGAAATGACTGGTAAGCTGCTCCTCAACCTGCTGCTGCCTGGACTGTAGAACGTGCTGCTGGACCCGCACCCGGACGTGCGCACCGTGGCGGCCAAGGCGTTTGGTTCGCTCGTGCGCGGCATGGGCGAGCACGAGTTTCGTGACTCTGTGTGGCTGTTCTGATGCAAGGAGTGCGGAACAGTCTGGAGAGATTCACGGTCCAGCATTCCTACACATCCCCCCTCTCATCCTCGCCTTCTCCACCTCCTCATCCTGCCTTCTTCTGTGTTGCAGGTCCGATGCATCGAGTGTGGAGAGGTCGGGGGCGGCGCAGGGGTTGAGCGAGGTGCTAGGGGCGCAGGGCCGGCACCGCTTCGAGCTGCTGCTGCCAGACCTGCTGGCGGGGTGCTCGCACAAGGTGGCGACTGTCAGAGACGGGCATCTGACGCTGTTCAAGGTGAGTCAACGCTGGTCAATGTGCGCCAATGGGAGGCAACTCTCAAAAGCACCAGTGCGAGCTGCTGTTGCTGCCGGAATTTCTGGCGGGGTGCTCGCACAAGGTGGTGGCGACTGACAGAGATAGGTATTTGACCCTGTTCAAGGTGAGTCAACGCTGGTCAATGGGAGTCAATGCTTAAAGGCACAGCTTTGAGCTGCTGCTGCCAGATCTCCTCTTTTCCTCATCTCTCCTTCTCCAATGCCTCCTCTCCTCTTCCCTCCACGCCCGTGCCTGGCAGTACCTACCGCTGTCCTTCGGTGCGCCCTTCCAGAACTACCTCCCCCAAGTGCTACCTGCCATCCTCGACGGTACGTGATGCCCCAACTCCCCTTTCTCATTTTTCCTATGTTGTTGTCGCTTCCCATCCCTACTTCATTTCATCAGTCCACCTCTCCAGGAGTGCTTGTCCTGAATTTCCGTTTTCCTTTTTTCCCTTCATATCCACACCCCACCGTCCCCCCCCACCCCCGTCTAGGGGTGGTGGACGAGAGGGAGAGTGCTTGTGCTAATGTCCTGTTCCGTTCCGCTTTCCTCTCTCCCGCACCCCTCCCCCAGGTCTGGCGGGGCGGGTGAGAGTGAGAGTGTGCATGATGCAGCAAGGTGACATTTGAGTCGACTCAAAAGTCTCCTCCCTCCCACATGACACCCCACCCCACCCCCCCCTCCCCCAGGTCTGGCGGATGAGAGTGAGAGTGTGCGCGATGCAGCACTGGCAGCCGGACATGTCTTGGTGCAGCAATACGCCATCAGGTGCATTTATTCTCACACCGTATTCTCTGTGTCTGTTCTCTTATGCGTTCTCCCTGTTTCCCCCTCCTATCCTCTCCTCTTCATCCCCATCCCCAGCTTATAACAGCCAATGCGTTTCTTTTCACCTTGCTCTCGTTCTCCACCCCCTTTCCCCCCCAACCCCCACATCCCCTCCCCCCCACCCCACACGCCCTCTCTCCCCCTTCTCTTTTTTTTTTCTCCTCCTTCTAGTTCACTGCCGCTGCTGCTGCCAGCGGTGGAGGAGGGGCTGTTCAGCGACAGCTGGCGGATCAGGCAGAGCTCCATGGAGCTGCTGGGTGACCTGCTCTTCAAGGTGATTATAACGAGTGGAGGAGGGTGATTCTAGTGGCTTCAGCTAGAGTTAGAGACCATTGAAGTGACTGTAATGGATAACAGAGCTACATGGAGCTGCTGGGCGACATGCTCTTCAAGGTGACGTGATTATAACGAAGTGAGTAGGGGAGGGGTATGCTTGATGACAACGTTTGACTTGGATTAGGGACCTTCAAAGTGACTGTAATTGAGAAAACATAGTTCTATCTGACTGGATTAGTGACTGGATGATTTTTATCAAAACTTGATGCAAAGCATTCTTGGCTTTTTTCCTTTCTCCCTCATCACAGGTCGCATGCATATCAGGCGAGGTGGTGCTGGAGGGAGGCAGAATCGACGAGGGCACCAGCACGGACAGAGGCACAGGGCCGGGCAGTTTTTGTTACAGCTCTTTTCTAACTTTCTACTTCCGTCTGTCATTTTCCTTGTCTCTCACATCAGGTCGCGGGCACGTCAGGGAAGGTCGTTTTGGAGGGAGGCAGCGACGACGAGGGCGCCAGCACGGAGGCGCAGGGCCGGGCGATTCTGGACGTTCTGGGGCTGGATAGACGCAACGAGGTGCTGGCTGCTGTGTACATCGTTCGATCCGACGTATCGCTGTCCGTGCGACAGGTGAGGAAGCCTACTGTGCCCAACGCATCTGTTGAGGTGCGTACATGCTTGCTCTGGAAGGAATCCAACACCCTGCATGCTTGCCCACCCACCCCACTCACCAGCATGCATGCCCACTCATGTGTTTCCTCCCTATGTGTGTGATTCAAATAGTTCCCCCTCTCGCACCACTGCAGTGCAGTCCGCGGTGCACGTGTGGAAGACTATCGTGGCCAACACCCCACGCACCCCGAAGGAGATCATGCCCACGCTCATGCGCTCTCATTCACGCTCATGCGCTCTCATTCACGCTCATGCGCTCTCATTCACGCTCATGCGCTCTCATTCACCTCATATCGCTTCTCACTTCCCTCCCTTCCCTTCCCACCGCCACCTCTCGCCCCACTGCAGTCCGCCGTGCACGTGTGGAAGACCATCGTGGCCAACACCCCACGCACCCCGAAGGAGATCATGCCCACACTCATGCGCTCTCATTCACGCTCATGCATTCCCTCTCCTCGGTGTTCCCCTCTCACTCTTTGCAGTCTGCGGTGCACGTTTGGAAAACTATTGTGGCCAACACGCCTCGCACGCTCAAGGAGATCATGCCCACACTCATGCGCCTCCTCATCGACTCCCTCGGCTCGCCCTCCTTCGAGCGCCGCCAGGTGAGACTTTGACACTGACAGACTGATTATCTGATCTGATGTTAGCCCTTGAACTGGACGAGAAAGGGAAAGGCAATGGATCTGGATTTAGAATGTCCGGGTCCAATCCATTTACCTTGTCTTCGTGTTCACGCATTTGGACATACCTGGGAGAGTGAGTGCTGTGCTGAATAACACCTGCGCCTGCCCTTTTCTGTCCCATCTTCTCCCTCACTTTTGTTTCCTCACTTGTGTGCCTCTCACTTTTGTGCCTCTCACTTGTGTCCCGCAGATGGCCAGTCGGGCCATAGGCGAGTTGGTGCGCAAGCTGGGAGAGCGAGTGCTGCCCTCAGTGGTGCCCATCCTCTCTGCCGGTCTCAAGGACCCCAACCCCGCCACCAGACAGGTGTGTGCGTGTGTGTATGTGTGTGTGGGAGCGCGGGCACGTGCATGTGTGTAAGGCTGCCCTCCTTCTTGAGTCTTGTTCTGCCTTCTGTGTTGCACTCTACTGTTGTTTGAGGCTCCTGAGAAGTCTGTTTGCACACCATTGCTTGTTCGACCCTGTCATCACATCTCTCCACCCAAGACATCAACATCACTCCCTCTGTTCCATCCATACGACGCCGCTGTCACACTCTGTGTGATCATGATTCATGAAAAGTACTATGTGGTGTGATATGGGATTGTGTGATCATATATGCCCTTTCTTGCTGTCTACTTATATGTCTGCAGGGTGTGTGCTGCGGGCTGGGCGAGGTGATGAATGCTGCAGGCCGGCAGAACCTCACGTCCCATCTGGACGACCTTATCGGAACCATCCGCACTGCGCTCTGCGATGAGTGAGTCCAACCAACCAGTGAAGCGCTGTGCCTTTGCAATAGATTGTGCGTTCTAGGCCGCAGAACCTCACCTCACATCCCACCTGGACGCCCTTATCGGCACCATCCGCTCTGCGCTCTGCGATGGGTGAGTATCAGACACGCTTCTGTAATATGCGGCGACTCTGTCCGTCACACCTCCTGTTTCCCTCCTCCTGCTCCTTTTGCTCCCCCTGCTACCCCTGCCCATCATGCTCTCTCTGCTCCTCATGCTCATCCTGCTCCTCTGTTCGTTCGTTCCTCCCTGCCTCTCGTGCTGAGCAGGGATGCTGAAGTGCGGGAGGCAGCAGCACAGGCCTTCAGCACGCTCTACAAGGTGGGTGCCTCACTCACATGGAAATTCGTTCTCTCATGTGCATAGGACTTGCGGGTATAGGAACGATTTTTTAAGCGCCCCAAAGGGAGGCAGCAGCACAGACCTTCAGCACGCTGTACAAGGTGGGTGCCTCTCAGGACAGTCCCTTCTCTTGTGGGCATACCGTATGCTACTGTCTAAGTGAACTCGTATCGCAGAAGTGCGACGCTAATCTGCTGCTCTTCTCTCCTTGCGTTTGCTTCCCCTGCCTGCGCAGAGTGCGGGAATGCAAGCAATCGATGAGATCGTGCCAGCGCTGCTGCACTCTCTGGAGGATCCCCACACGTCTGCCACGGCGCTCGATGGGCTCAAACAGATCCTCAGGTGGGATGGGTTCAGGTGAATTTTCAAGTGGGATGGGTTCAGGTCAATTTTCAGGTGGAATGGTGATTCTCAGGTCGGATGGGTTCAGGTGGATACTCAGGTGGGTTGCGCTGTATTCCAGATTCAATAGCAACAGATTGCAGCCTGAAAATCTTTCACCTTAAGTCTCAATCCATTTCTCCCCCTCTGCCTTTCACCCCTCTCCCCATCTCCCCCTTGTGTTGCAGTGCGCGCACCACCGGAGTACTGCCTCACATCCTGCCCAAGCTCGTCAAACTTTCTGAGAAGCCTCAAAGTCATTCCGTTTCTCCCCTCTACCTCATCCCCCTTCTCCACCTCCTCGTCCTCCCCCCCAATGCTCTGCAGTGTGCGCACCACTGTCGTACTGCCTCACATCCTACCCAAGCTCGTCAAACCGCCTCTCACGTACGTACACTGCCCTTCCACTTGCTCCTTTTTGTGTCCAATTTACCAGTAGGTCTAATTGGCGGACTCAATGTTTGGGTTTACTTTCTCCCCTTTACCCACCCCGGATCTCGCCCACACAGGGAGTTCAAGGCACATGCGCTGGGGGCGCTGGCAGAGGTGGCAGGGGCGGGCATGTGTGTGCATCTGGCCACGGTGCTGCCGCCGCTGCTCAATGAGATGGGGCAGATGGAGGAGGTGAGTGCGAGTGTGTGCGAGTGTTCATGTGTGGGAATGTGAAGAAATGTGTGTGCATTGGCGGGCATGTGTGTGCATTGGCGGGCATGTGTGTGCATTGGCAGGCATGTGTGTGCATCTGGCAACCGTGCTGCCTCCACTGCTCAACGAGATGGGGCAGATGGAGGAGGTGAGCGGGTTAGAGGGGCTAGAGGGAAGTGAGCAAGGCTAGCGGGGTATGCTGCTGTGGTGGCAGTCCCATGATCTGTTGACGATTTTAAGTGTTTTTGCAGTGGTTCCATGTAGGACATTCTCGAAAACTCTCTCTGGCACCTCTTCTTCCAGAACCTTCTTCCCCCAACCTGCTTCCACACTCTCTCTCCCCTTGCCCATCAACTCTCCCTACAGTCCCCCCTGCGCTCTATGGTGGTGGCATCAGCAGAGGCGGTGGTGAAGGGAGTGGAAAACGAGGGGCTGAACCCTCTTATTGGCGAGCTCACGCACACCATTTCCCGCCGCCTCCGTTTGTTCCCCTTTTCCCTTCGTCCCTCCCATGCCACTACTCTTCTTCCCCACAGTCCCCCCTACGTTCCATGGCGGTGGCATCAGCAGAGGCGGTGGTGAAGGGGGTGGACGAGGAGGGGCTGGACTCTCTTATTGGCGAGCTCACGCACGCTCTCTCTGATAACTCAGTACGTTCTGGGAAGAGGTAAGGGCGGGTGGTAGAGGTCGGGATGGGGGTGAGTGGGGAGGGAGACGGGGCGGGTGCGGAGGGGCTGCAATTTTTTTTTAATGAGCTCACCCACACGCTCTCTTGTTTTGAATCAACTCAAAACACAGCTGCAATTTCTTATAGGTGAGCTCACCCACACACTCTCTTGTGCTCCTATCTCGCCTCTCTTCTCTGGTCGTCTCTCCTTTCCCTTCCCCTCTTCTCCTCACCTTGTCCTCCCTTCTCTTCTCATCTCCTGTCCTCTTCTCCCCCTATCCTTTCCAGGCGGTCATGAGGCGTGGGGCAGCGAAGCTTCTCGGAACGTTCTGCAAGATCACGCGTGTGGATCTGGAGGAGGAGTTGCCGTCGCTGATGACCATCCTGATCGTCATGCTCGCAGACCCTGATGAGACCTGTGTGAAGGTAAGACATGATGGGTGCATGTGTTTCTGTAAGTAGTGCGCGTGTGGATCTGGAGGAGGAGCTTCTGTCGCTGATGACCATTCTCATTGTCATGCTGGCAAACCCCGATGAGGCCTGTGTGAAGGTATGATGTGACATGGGATGAGATGGGGTGTGTGCACGTGTGTTGCTGTTGTGCATCGCTGATGACCATCCTGATCGTCATGCTGGCAGACCCCGATGAGGCCTGTGTGAAGGTACCTGCGGTGCGAGGACCACTGACTATGTATGTGTGTGTTGCTGTAGAGTTTTGAGTCGACTCAAAACTTGTGTGAAGGTAAGATGCAGTGCGAGGAGCACTGACTATATATGCATGTATTGCTGTAAGGAGTGCATGTGTGGGATGGGCGGAGGAGGAGGAGCTGCCGTCGCTGATGACCATTCTCATCGTCATGCCTGCAGACCCCGATGAGGCCTGTGTGAAGGTATGATATACGATGTGAGGGCATGGTGCTTTCACTGTAGTGCATGCGTGCTGTGATGGGATGTGGTGTGTGTATATAGGGAGGGGAAGCAGGAGCTGCCATCGCTGATGACCATTCTCATCGTCATGCTGGCCGACCCCGATGAGGCCTGCGTGAAGGTATGTATGATTTGGTGATGAGTGCAACTGATGCCATGGTGCAATAGTGCATGTCATGCTATGCTGCCATTCTTCCCCCTTCCAACCCAATCATCCCCTCTCGCAGGTGGCATGGGAGGCGCTGGGCAGCGTCACGAGCACCATTCCCAAGGAGTCGCTGCCAGTGCACCTCAAAGTGGTTCGAGATGCTGTTGCCACTGCCAGGGACAGGGAGAGGAGGAAGAGGAAGGTGGGTTGCCTTGCCACTCTTGCATACGTAAGGTCTCCGGGTCTCTTTCTCTCGTTTCATTGTGTTACCATGCTTGTTCCTTTTCTTTTCTTTTTTATCTATCTTTTTCAATATTGACTCCATCCGCTTGGTGCTCTCTCCCTCCTTACGCACCCATCACCCCACAGGGCCTTCCCATGCTCGTTGCTGGTTTCTGCCTGCCCAAGGGCTTGCAGCCAGTGCTCCAGATATACTTGCAGGTGAGCATCTCAGCCTGTCTTGTTGTGGGGTTTAGATATACCTGCTTCAGATGTACTTGACGTGCCACCAGGCTCCAGTTATGTAGAGATGCCTCAAATCGTTCCCACCCCAGAGATGCCACAGGTACAGCAGCAAACGCACGTGACTGCTTGTCTCATGCCCTCCCCCTCCCCCTCCCCCTCCCCCTCCCCCTCCCCCTCCCCCTCCCCCTCCCCCTCCCCCTCCCACTTGCCCTTCCAGGCGCTCATGTTGGGGTCAGCGGAGATGCGAGAAGCAGCAGCGGACGGGCTGGCGGAGCTCATCGACGTGGCCAGTGAGGCGGCGCTGCGGCCGTTTGTGGTGCCCATCACTGGGTGAGCGTAGTAGTTGGGTACCACAATTGGTGTGGATGGGTGTAGATGGGTGTGGATGGGTGTGGATGGGTGTGGATGGGTATGGATGGGTTTGGATGGGTGTGGATGGGTGTGGATGGGTTTGGATGGTTGTGGATGGGTGTGGATGGGTTTGGATGGTTGTGGATGGGTGTGGATGGGTTTGGATGGTTGTGGATGGGTGTGGGTGATAGACGTGCGGGTGAGGCAGCTGTGTGGCCCTTTACTGGGTGAGAGTAGACCAGTAAATGTTTTCTTTTAGAATTCTTTAAAAAAAAAATCAGATTGAGTAACAGCTCTTGCATGCACATCCCCTCTCATCCCCTTCCATCCCCCCTCATCCCCTCTCCTTCTCCGTTTCCCTCCCCCGCTCCCTCTCCCGTTCTCCCTCTGGCCCCCCTTTCCCAGTCCCCTCATCCGCATAGTGGGGGATCGCTTCCCCTGGCAGGTCAAGGCAGCTATTCTCTCCACCCTCGCCATTCTCATCTCCAAGGGCGGCATCGCCCTCAAGCCCTTCCTGCCGCAGCTGCAGACCACCTTCATCCGCTGCCTGCAAGACTCCAACCGGTGAGTGCCTGCTGCTCTCCCCCTGTTCTCTCCCCGCATGCCAAGTACCATTTGAGTCTAGTCTGTATGGGGGCAGGCAGGCAAAGGTGGGAGCAGGGGTGCCTCGAGCACCACGTCAAGCCCTTTTTCCTGCTGCAGCTGCGCACTGCTTTCATCTGCTGCCAGGAACACTCCTACTAACCATTATGAATCTCCCTTGTTTCCTAAAGCTCGTCTATACTTACCCCCCATCCCCCCACTCATCTCCCCAGCACGGTGCGCTCGCGGGCAGCCAAGGCGTTGGGGCGGCTGACAGCGCTCAACCCGCGAGTGGATGCTCTCATTTCCGACCTCCTTAACTCCATCCAGGTCAGTGTTGCCTCCAGGTCAGCACTCTTCCACATCAGTACTCTGCGCAACGTCAGCATTCTGTCCAGCGTTCTGTTCTGTCCACATCAGCACCTTACTGGCATCCCTCCCGACCGACCTCACTTCCACACTTCCCTCTTCCCCTTTTACAGACTGCGGACGGTGCAGTGAAGGAGTCGATGCTGATGGCAATCCGGGGAGTGGTGAGGCACGGAGGCAAGGCTGAGTGATCCCTGTCGTGCGTATTGTGCCTCCTTCCGCCCCCCCTCCCCTCTTCCCCTCACAGACTGCGGACGGTGCGGTGAAGGAGTCGATGCTGATGGCCATCCGCGGAGTGGTGAGGCACGGAGGCAAGGCAGCCTCTCCGGCATCTTTGGAGCGCCTCTCCTCGTCTCTCCAGGCGGTGCTGTTCGCCTCTGACAGCGATGACGACTCTGTTGTTCGCTCCGTTGCTGCTAGAGCCCTGGGGGGCACTGCGCAGGTAAGAGAGAGAGAGAGAGAGAGAGAGTGGCAGGGGTGCGAATGGCACGGAGGCAAGGCAGCTTCTCCCGCCTCTCCTCATCGCTGCAGGCGGTGCTGTTCGCCTCTGACAGCGATGACGACTCAGTTGTTCGCTCTGTCGCTGCTAGAGCCCTGGGCGGCACTGCGCAGGTGAGAGAGAGGCAGCACTGTGGCGCACAGGCATGCCAAGATCATGGCAGAGGAGAGAGGGGGTGCTGGGATGGTATTCGAGGCGTCAGAATGTGGAAGGTGCAGGGATGAGGGTGGTACGGAGGCAAGGCGGCCTCGCCCGCATCTCTGGAGTGCCTCTCCTCGTCGCTGCAGGTGGTGCTGTTCGCCTCTGACAGCGATGACGACTCTGTTGTTCGCTCTGTCGCTGCTAGAGCTCTTGGTGGTACTGCACAGGTGAGAGAGTGTGCATGTGTGGGCCTCTCTGGACACAAAGCGTGGCTCACAGCACCGCCCCTGAGACGTGTCAAAAAATCTCTCCTCCCCCCTCCCTCCCACCCCATTCCCCCAACCCCCAACAGTACCTGTCGGAGCCGGATTACCTCACTCTCCTCGCCACCCTCGCCGTCCCCCCCTCCTCCTCCCGGCCCTGGTCGCACCGCCTTGCAGCTGTGCTTGCCGACTCCTCCCTCCTCCGCCACACCACCTCCCGCCCCTCAACCTCCCTCCTACTATTGGAGGCACATGCACCCAGAGAGCACCTGTGATGAGGTTCCATACAGAAAATACACCCCTTTCGTCTCTGTCTCTCGTTTCCCATGCTCCCAATGCTTCCCCGTTTCCCCCCTTCCCCCCTCCAACCCCACCAGCAGTACCTATCGGAGCCAGACTACCTCGCCCTCCTCTCCGCCCTCGCCGCCCCCCTCCCCTCCTCCCGCCCCTGGTCGCACCGCCTCGCTGCCGCCCTCGCCCTCTCCTCCTTCCTCCGCCACACGGCTCTGGACTCAGCCTGCCACCTACTACCATTGAGCACTTGCGATGAGGTTCCATACAGATAACTGACCCCTTTCCTCTCTGCCTCTCCCCCCCACTTTTAACCCCTACCCTGCCCACCCCAGCAGTACCTATCGGAGCCAGACTACCTCTCCTCCTTGCCGCCCCCCTCCCCTCCTCCCGGCCCTGGTCGCACCGCCTTGCAGCCCCCCTCGCCCTCTCCTCCTTCCTCCGCCACACCACCTCCCGCCCTCAAGCTCCCAGCTACTGCCATCGGGCTGGAAGCCCAGGCTCCTCCAGAGCACTTGTGATGAGGCTCCATGCAGAAAACTGGCCCCTCCTCTCTCTCTCTATCAATTTCCATACTCCCACTTTTTCCCTATTTCCCCCTCCCCCACACCCCCAACAGTACCTAGCTGAACCAGACTACCTCTCTCTCCTTGCCGCCCTCGCCGCCCCCCTCCCCTCCTCCCGGCCCTGGTCGCACCGCCTCGCAGCCGCCCTCGCCCTCTCCTCCCTCCTCCGCCACACCGCCTCCCGCCCCGCGCCCCTGCCAGCATCCCAGCTCTCGGCCGTTGCCGAAAAGTCAGCCACGGCTATAAGAGCACATGCAGGGGATGATAAGGTGCCGGTGAGGGAGACCGCGGCTAAGTCGGCGGGGAGGTGGCTGGTGCTGTTTGGGATGGGCGGGGGGAGTGCGGCGGGTGTGGTGTCGGTGCTGGCTTCGCTGCTTGGGGATGCGGCTAGTGATGTGCGGAGGAGGGCGCTGTCTGCTGTGAAGATGGTTGCCAAGAAGGTGAGTCAGTGCATGGAACGGGATCAACAGGGTCAAGGTGGTTGGTCCACTTGCTTATTTCATCCTCTCTTTCTTGCTGCTAGTGACGTGCGGAGGAAGGCACTCTCTGCTGTCAAGATGGTTACCAAGAAGGTGGGTCAACTCGGTCAATGCAGTCAATGCAGTCAACAACATTGACGTGGTCAACGAGTGGCTTCCCCAGCCCTCTATCCCCCACCCATCTCTGCTCACAAGGGGCCCGAACCTGGCTCATCCCGCTCTCCCCACACATTCCCCACCCATCTCTGCTCTCTAACCACACGAGCCCATCCAGCAAAGCCCCTGGCAGCGCTGGGCCCGCCCCTGTCAGAGTGCCTCAAGGTCACACGAGTCAGCCTGTGTACCTCCCTCATTCCACTATCCCCCACCCCACCTCCCCTCCTCCCCAACAAAATACTGCTCCATGCCATGCTCGCAGGACCCCATACCAGCGAAGATTATGGCAGTACTAGGCCCGCCCCTGTCCGAGTGCCTCAAGGTCACACGAGTCAGCCTCTGTGCCCTCCTCACCCCTCTATCCCCTCCTTCACCCCCCTCTACCCTTGCCCCTCTTGACAGTGCATCATAACTACAGGAGCCCATCCAGCGAAGCTCGTGGCAGCGCTGGGCCCGCCGCTGTCAGAGTGCCTCAAGGACACACAAGTCAGATGGTGCCTTCCTCACCCCTCTATCCCCTCCTTCACCATCTTCCCGCCCCCCCCCTCCTTCACACTGCGTTATAACTACAGGAACCCATCCCAGCAAAGCTCATGGCGGCGCTGGGCCCGCCCCTGTCAGAGTGCCTCAAGGACACGAGTCAGCCTGTGAGGATGGCTGCAGAGCGAACCATCCTGCACGCCTTCCAGCTCAGCAAGGGTGAGTTCCAGCTCAGCCCGGGTAATGTCCAGCTCAGCAAGAGCCTTGCCCTACGAACCAGCAAGGTTAGAGTAATCATCATCTTGGCTCAGCACAAAAGGGCTGAGGCATGAATGAGCCTGCCATGTTTCCCACTGGGGACAAGCACACCTGAACCTTCACGAGTTCTCAACCTGTGCAGCGCGAACAAGTTGATAGTTCATTCTCCCACGTTGCAACTGAAACATCATTTTTTTTCCTGCCGCTGTCTGAATTCTCTGACTGACCAGGTCCTGACCAGGTGACAGCAGCGCAGAAGTATCTCACAGGGCTCGAGTCCCGCCGCATTGCAAAGATGCCCGTTGTCAGGTAACTATTTTTCCTTCTATTCCTTTCCTGTCAACTGAGGCTTGATTGTATCTCCAGGTAGGGCGTCTTTTCGTTATTATGTTTTCCTGGGTATTCAGGCTTAACTTGGCCGCTCATGATCTATATGCTGCTTCGGTGTTTTACATGCAGCGATGGCAGCGATGACAGTGAAGATGATGATGCGCAGGATGATTAAACTTTCAATTACTGTTGCTCATGAGATACAGTAACGCTGAGCAAAGAGCAGTGGGTGGCTGGAAACAATATAGGCATTTCGTTTCGTGCTCCGATCCCCCTCAAATTCTAATCGATATGTTATGAAGGAATCACTAGTACCTGTACTCTATGCGCTTATATCACAACCTACCCCTTATGCTGTACCACTGTGTCCTGTACCTGTGATAGTAATGAAGAGCAGAAGCACAACCTTGTTTGTGGTAGACATAAGCTCCTTCATAAGCTTTCTTTTGTAGTCAAACTTGGTTTGCCGCTTACATAGTGTAAGGAAAATTCCTTTTCCTTACTTCGCATACCTGCTCAACGCGTACATCACGGTAGCACCACAGTCAGCACCGTTACCACTCGCAACCCTCGCATCGACAATCCGCCCGCCACCTTCGCACATCGCACCCAGGGCTAATTTTTGGATTTAAGCGTTACGAATAGTAGTTAATGAAAAACACTGTTGCGCACTCCTCACCGTAGTAAGGCCGAAGCACGCACTATCGAGAGTGAAGACGAAAAGCCAGAAGAAAGGCGAAGGGACAGACGGTTACGAGGAGCATCTGGACCGTCAGGCAGACAGCATCAGGCAGCAGCAGTGGCGAGGATTCTGCCCGAACAGTTACGTAACTACTCGGAGTCGCACGGTTGGATTTCGCTGCAATAAGGGAATGTACCCCTTAGAGTACATGGCTAGTTAGGTCGTTTCGAATTCCCCTGTACTCATATTTATATTCCTTGTACTGCACGTGTTTATTATCTCAAGCATTTACATTCACTCTGCTATTGAGGTTAAGGGCCCACCACCACTAGACTAGAATTGTGCGAACTTTCCTGAGTAGATCCTAGGCCACGATAAACTTTTGATCGTAACATGGTATGAGAGCGACTCAGAAATCCTTCGCACCGCCATCTCCGAAATCTGCGACATTCGGAAAGTGGCGTCCGGCACACGATCACGTGTAAGAATGGCCGGAGGATCTGGAGGTCAGACGAATCTGACGGCTGAAGCGCAGCCCAACCCGGCTGCAACAAACGAGGAAACGACGACGATTCCTTCCGCCGTCCTCGCACAACTGCTTCAGCGACTCACGAGCCTGGAGCAAGGGCTCCAGACATTGCGGAATGGCGATGCGGGAACCTCTTCCCAACCCACTCAACCGGCCTCAAACGACCAAAACTCCACCCCGCAAGGCTTCTCTCTCGATACGAACGGCTCAACCCCCAAGACTTCCTGTCCCAGCGATGAAGCAATTGTCAAATCATAATGTTCTGTAGGCTGTAGTGGGGTAGCCTATATGGGGTACACATTTCTAGGGTTGCACATTTTGTACCACATTCCATTCCTTAGTTCACATCATTCTCGTTTCAATTCTCTCATGGTATCGAGCAGGTTCCCTCGTGGGAACTGTGCCTAGGGCCCACCAAGTCGAAAGTTTTTTTTCCTGCCCGGAGCGCGCTCTGCCCGAGTCGCCCTACCTACGACCCCGGCCCCGTCGCCCTACCTACGACCCCGGCCCCGTCGCCCTACCTGCGCCTCGGCCCCATCGCCCTTCCTGCGCCCCGGCCCCGTCGCCCTACCTGCGCCCCGGCCCCGTCGCCCTACCTGCGACCCCGGCCCCGTCGCCCCCCCCCCCCCCCCTTGCGAACCTGGCCCCGTCGCCATACCTGCGGCCCCGGCCCTAGCCCCGTCGCCCTACCTGCGCCCCGGCCCCGTCGCCCTACCGTCGACCCGGCCCCGTCGCCCTACCTACGGCCCGGCCCCGGCCCCGTCGCCCCGCCTACGGCCCGGCCCCGTCGCCCTTCCTTCGACCCGGCCCCGTCGCCCTACCTACGGCCCGGCCCCGGCCCCGTCACCCTACCTACGGCCCGGCCCCGGCCCCGTCGCCCTACCTTCGACCCGGCCCCGTCGCCCTACCTACGGCCCCGCCTGAACCGCCTACGCAGCCGAGCCGCCCGCGCCGCTCAGCCACCCGAGCCGCCCGAGCCGCCCGAGCCGCCCGAGCCGCCTGAGCAGTTGAGGAGCCGAGCCGCGGGTGCCGCCGAGCCGCAGTTGCTGCCGAGCCGCCCGAGCTACCCGAACCGCCCTGTCGGGTGAGCGCAGCGCCTCTGTCACTGCACTGCCCCTGCTCTACAGTTAGCGCTGCTAGTCTACTGTTCTCATGGCTACCCCTAGTGTCCTTGCTTTTGACGCCGAGGGTCGAGCCATTGACTTTGACGTCTGGGTAGATGACCTGCAGCTGTTCTTACAGTGCGATAGGGCAGACGGTCTCTCCCTCTTTGACCTCACCTCTGGTGCCTCTCCTGCCCCTACTGCTGATGCTCACGCCACTGTTCGCTCACAGTGGGCCACGCGCGATGCTGCTGCACGTCTTGCTGTGCGTCGCCACCTCCCTACCTCTGAGCGTGCGCACTTTAGTCAGTACAAGAGTGCTCAGACCTTGTACGACGCTGTAGTTGCACGCTACTCCTCCCCTGCCACTGCTGCACTGAGCCGTCTCATGCTACCGTACCTCTTCTTTGACCTTGCTGCCTTTCCCACAGTCGCTGACCTCATTACGCACCTCCGCATTAGTGACACTCGCTACCGCGCTGCGCTTCCCGCTGACTTCTGCGCCAAGAACCCCCCCCCCATGTACATCACTCTCTACTACATAGTCACTCGCCTCCCTCACTCCCTTCGCGTAGTCAGGGACCACTTCCTCTCAGTCTATCCCACCACTCTCACTATTGACCTCCTCAAGAAGTCCTCCCCAACGGCCGAGAAGAGCATAGTCGCTGAAGGGGCCTCTCGTGGTGACCCGCGCACCCCCATCTTTGAGGGGTGTTCCCCCTCCCCCCTTTTGCCCTCTGTTGCCTCTGCTGCTGCGGCCGACCTACTTGGTCTTGAGTCGGTCGGTGCGGCGTCTGCCCCTAGCGGGAGGAGGCGGCGGCGGTGGCGGTGGGAGCGGAGGTGGCGGAGGTGGTGGCGGTGGAGGAGGCGGCGGAGGCGGCGGTAGTAGCGGAGGCGGCGGAGGCGGCGGAGGCGGCGGGGGTGGCGGTGGAGCTGGTCGCGGGTCTACGCAGAGGAGTGGCTCCGGTGGTGGTCCGCGCCAGCAGCAGCAGCACGGTCGTGAGACCTTGAACCCTCAGCAGCTCCTTGAGTGGTACACTGCACGCCAGCGGGGTGGGGGCTTTGGTCCGTGCACCTACGTCCTGCGCACCGGCGACCGTGCGGGTGAGCCGTGTGGGGGTGCGCACCCCACCCAGCGCTGCTTTGGCCGCCTGACGGACGCGTGGCGTCACCGGTTCCCGGAGGCCACAGAGATCCCTCGCTGGGGCGGGCTGTCTAGGGCGGGAGTTGCCATCTATGATCTTGATTTTGATGCTATCCTTTCTGCCATGTATGCTGTGTCTATTAGTGATGAGGGTGACTGTTACCGGTGTTTCCCGCCCGACCCGGGCATTGAGATTGCTGCTCTAGATACTGGTGAGGCTGCTGCTCTAGGTGCCAGTGAGGCTGCTGCTCTAGGTGCTAGTGCGTCTGCGTCCTCAGGTGCTGGTGAGTCTGCGCTCGCAGGTACCGCGTCGGCTTCGGCCTCCCTCACCTTCACATTTGACTCAGGGGCTTCACGCTCCTTCTTTCGAGACCGCACCACACTCACGCCGCTTGGTCGGCCGGTTGCAGTCTCCCTGGAAGACCCCTCTGGGGGTCCTGTCCTTTCTCACTTCTCCACTGTCCTCCTGTGTCCGGCGGCCCCCTCTGGCACCTTGTCTGGTCTTTACCTTCCCTCATTCTCTACGAACTTGGTGAGTGGTGCTGACCTACAGGATGCGGGGGTTCACCAGTTTACTCCTGCGAGTCAGCGGGTGACTCACTGCTCGGACGCTCGCACAGGCCGGCACCTGGCCACGTTTACGCGACGGCCGGGGTCGAGCCTGTACACCCTGGCCACTGAGTCTCCTCCTGTCCCTGCGTCTGGTCAGGTAGCTGCGTCGGGTCAGGTGTTTGCTGCAGCGTCCAGGTCTGGTCCTGAGTCTGCCCCCTGCTCGTGTCGCCTCCTGTCTCACGAGACTCTCCTCTGGCACCACCGCCTTGGTCACCCCTCCCTGCCTCGTCTCCGAGGCATGGCCTCCCGTGTCCTTGTCTCTGGTCTTCCCCGGTCCCTCCCTCCCCTTCCTCCGGGGCCTGGCCCCACCTGCGTCCCCTGTGTCGAGGGGCGGCTGCGGGCTGCCCCTCACTCCTCTCTGTTTCCCCTGACAGAGGCCCCGCTGCAGACGCTTCACATGGACATGTGGGGCCCGGCCCGCGTCCGTGGACAGGGTCACGAGCGCTACTTCCTGCTGGTGGTTGACGACTACTCGTGTTACACCACAGTCTTCCCCTTGCGCAGCAAGGGTGATGTCACTGAGGTGTTGATCGACTGGATCCGCGCAGCTCGTCTCCAGCTCAGGAGGAGCTTCGGCTCGGACTTTCCTGTTCTGCGTCTGCACTCTGACCGAGGCGGAGAGTTCTCCTCTGGCCTTCTGCAAGCCTACTGTCGTGCGCGAGGCATCCGCCAGACCTTTACGCTTCCGGACCCTCCACAGCAAAATGGGATTGCTGAGCGCCGCATTAGCATGGTCATGGACGTCGCCCGTACGTCCATGATGCATGCGGCTGCCCCCCATTTTCTGTGGCCGTTTGCGGTTCGGTACGCGGCGCATCAGATCAACCTTCACCCCAAGGTCTCCATGCCGGAGACCTCCCCAGCTTTGCTGTGGACGGGGAAGGTAGGCGATGCGTCTGCGTTCCGTGTCTGG